CTTATCACCATCATCAACCATCATCAACCATCATCAACCATCACTTATCACTTATAGCCTTTTCATGTGTGGTTACATCCCTCCATATCTGATGGCTGACGTGTCATGGTGAACTCCACACCCTTCCGCCATGCTTCGGTGGCACAGCCGCAGAGGTCCGGGAAGGCGTTCAGCTCCCGGTCCTCATCGACCCGGAGACCTCAGCGCGGGATCTGTTTCAAAACAAGACCATTTGCAAAAAAAAAAGTTTCACTGTATTTTAATGTATTTTACCCATTAGAATTTTAATGTATTTTACCCATTAGACAATGGTTTAAAAAAATATGAAGGCGAACTCAGGCCACTTTACGAAAAACAAACATGAGGGTTTTGGCAAGAAACACACTTAGAGTCACAAAATCAACAGTTCAGGGCGTTGCAAACTAAAAGATGCCGGCTGTACCAACAAGAATCTGGGCTGAATAGCTTGATAGACACAACTAGGGTATGGCCAATCAAAAGTCAAGCTTTGACCATCAGAAGTATGTAAAGGTTAAGGGTTTCACCGAGAATTGCGCATCAAAAATTGGTCAAGAACTGTTGTTCGAGGTCCTCAAATGGGGTACAAAAGAATCATCAATGAGAGTGGAGACTGTCATGGTTTTTTCTGGGGTATCTTTTTTGCCCCAAATTCCTATTGGGTGATATAAGCAGCAAAAGCTGGGACATACTTGCGTAGGGGATGTACCAGACCAAACAATCACTTTCCATTGTTTTCCTGGTATTCCCTGGTCGGCAACAGCGTGGTTGCAACTGAAACACAACCCACAAGACTGGCACAAAGAAGCAGGCATTCAAAGAACAAGAGAATTGAACCAATATTGAATCGAATGTGGAAGGAAATAGAAGGCAAACTATGACAACCTTGCCATAATGGGATAGAATGTGGGGAAAGCTCGAAAAGCCCATCGAACATTGTTGGTTCTCCATCTAACATTGCATATTCCCAAGTATTCCCAGAAAATGATGTGTTTTATACCATGCTTGTTGCTTATCCCTTTATTTCCCATGTGAGTTTCTCGGACTTTTTTGTAAAAATAAATAAATCTACCAGTCAAACATATACTATATATATATACATATATATATGATGTATATAATGTGTCTAATTTAACCGGTTGGCGCTTTCAACCCCTCTGAAAAATATGAAAGTCAGATGGGATTATTATTCCCAATATATGGAAAGTCATTCAAAATTCCATGGTTCCAGTCACCACCAACCAGATGTATCAAGGGTATTTTGCTTGGTTTATTAACTATTCACCATGAACTTCCCATCAACTATTACCCTCTGGTAAATTAACATAGACCCTGAAAATAGCCTAGTTTGAATGGAAACTAATCTTCCAAACCCGATGAGTGCCAGGGTCTATGTTAATTTGCCAGAGGGTAATTAACATTTATTAGCCATTCAAAATTGCCACCAAAAAAACGATGGCAACCCACCCATGTTCTCGGATCCCAATGGCCTTCAGCCTCCTGGGACTCCTGGTAGTAGGCGGCCGCCAAGTCTGCCGACCACATGCAGCGGATCTGCTCCGGGCTCCTCATGAAAATTTGGGGATTGAAAGCATGTACCCTAGGGTAAACATGGGTAAACTAACATGAGATTATCATAAGATGTGGAAAAACCATGGTTTTCCCAAACAACAATCTAGAAATGGTAAATGTTCCACATCTATGGCAAAATTTAGCCCAGGGTATCTAGAAACCCTTTTATGGAGTTGGTTCTTGCAGAAAATGGCAAGAAATAAGTGTTCTTCATCACCCAATTTAGTCTAGTTGGTGGTTTCAACCCCTCTGAAAAATATTAGTCAGTTGGGATGATTATTCCCAATATATGAACAAATAAAACATGTTCCAAACCACCAACCAGTAGGGGTATCATGTTGTATCTGATGTGGTAAACCAATGCGAAATAAACCTTCCGTTGTTTCGATCCTGCCATTTCTGGTGAAATTGGGGGCGATTCATGACACTGGGGCCATGCCACATTTCCAACTAATGCGAAAGTTCACTAAGCTGGAGATGAATGTATGAACTTGTTTCTTCTTAGATCTCTACTATGTTACTATGTGTTTTGTATGTATGATTCAGTGAAACTGAGAGGGTTTATATATTGTATATATACAGTATAACCATCTATACTGTGAATAGCACCATCAATCATAGGAAGAGACCACATGATGTTGATAACTTCAAGAATACCCCATGTTTTGTGTATTACCCCATCATTTGTTTGTCCGTACTTATATACGTTTGTTTGGTTGTATCACGGTTGCGTTATACACCAATTATGGGTTGGGTGTGGTTGGGTCTGAACACGCATTGCTATTGAGCATATGCCCATTTCCATTCACTGAAAACGCCAATATCCTTGCTGTTTTCTCACGTTACACCACATGTTCTACGTAAACAATACAGCCAGACCACTTGGGGGTGCCTCCAATTGTAATCTGATACTTAAATGGTACCCTCCAAAAAATTAAACAGCCTAGAGGTTTATTAATCCAGGATTGACATTAGCAATCTCAAATGCCCCTTTTGCAACCCCTTCCGAACATCATCCAAGGCGCACGTGATGGATGGCCCATGTGCGATTGGTCATCTTCGACCAGAGGTTGTGGTGACAACCTGAAGTCCCAAGAAATTTTGCCGTGGCTGAGGCGAAAAGCTGTCAATCAATGGCCCATTTCAGGATCCAACAGATGGAGGTACGTTAGTACCATATATATATAAGGCCATATTTTCTGGGGATATCCCCTTACATAGCCCTGAAAAATATGCCTTTTTTCTATGGAATCGGTACCTCCAATGAATCAGCTCCTGACATGGCCAGTGAATAGGACCAAGTTTAATCCAGAAGCTTCAGAGGTATCAACTAATGTGTGATGCTATACATCACTAATTAATCATGTATGAAATAACAACAAAAACTATAGTAAGAGTACAAATATGTATAGTGATATCAATAATGATCAGTATTGTTGTTGTTGCTAAGCAAATGATTGTAATAGTGATAACGATAAACAAAACACATAGTTGCAATAAAGAAATAGTTGCTATCATAATAACAATGCTTACATCTTATCATTATTGGTAGTTGGAATATCAATGATGCTTTCAACCTTCACTGGATGAAGTCCTTTTGTTTCTTGAATGCACCCCAATGGCACAACAGTTGGCATTCATTTCGATCCTCCATCATCAAAGTTGCTCAACCCCTGAAGGATGATAGTATCGGGCCAGAAGTGGAGAAACCTCTTCTCAACAACTGGAAAAGATGGAAACAAGACAATCATCATCTATCTGGGTAAATTATCATATTTCACTAACCTGAATAGTTCGGCCATTTGGGGATGATTTCCCTAACATAAACCATGATCTATGAAAAAAAGGGAGAAGCAATGATTTAGCCATTTAGCAACCAAAAAAAAACAGAATTCGCCGCCTTCTCCGGACTCCAAAACCTGCGTCCGTTGGTCACCGTTGGTCCCTCCTTTTCAACGTTTCGACCCCCCGCAACGCCGCAACAGACACGTGACTCGGTTCCATGGCAAAGACCCGATTGTCGAAGTCGTCCTGCTTCGATCTGGTTACCATGGGTCACTTAAACAGATTACCATCTGGTTATTTAACATAGCCATGGAAAATCCCAACCATAAATGGAAGTTTATAGCTGGGAAAATCATCCATAAATGGGCCATCTATACGATGGCTATGTTAAATAGCCAGAGGGTAACAATAATGATAGTTGAAGTTTATAGAGGTTTCAACTATGAAAGAAGTAAATAATATAGCAAACAGTTTATTGTTGTAGTAAACAGGAAAGATGTTATTGTTATAGAATAGGTGTCAACTATTGGTATCAACTATTTACTTTCTATTGTTTTAATCTATTGGTTGATACCTCTATAGTTGATACCAATAATTGATACCTCTATTCAAAATTCTATTGGTTCAGAGGCATCAACTATTCTCTTCCTAGAAAAAAATCAAGCATCTTCAAGTGGTGTGCAATTTGAATATGGCAACAAGGATGACTGGTTGGTGGTTTCAATCCCTCTGAAAAATATTGGGATTCTTATTCCCAATATACTGAAAAACAAAAAATGTTCCAAACCACCAACCAGATGAGAAATCCATTTTCCAAAATCGACCAATGGTAACTAAGATGATGGATTTAACTTAATTTAACCATCAAAAATTTGGATTTTTTCTAGCTGGTAATCATCCCAAGGGTAAATCAAGAATTACGGATTTAACCATCACTTTATGGATTTTAAGCATCATTCTACTAGCGATGATACTTGGGATTTTAACATTTTCGGTGCTGATCTGGGTGCTGGAATGCTTGGGATCCATCCCACAGAAATCTCGGTTGGAAATTTGTACCCAACCTGGTTATGACATTCACAGGGCTAGCCATGGTTTTTCGATGGCCGATTTATCGAAATAGCTGGTTTACCGTTCTTACAAATGGGTGGATTTTCCGTGGCGAACTGGCACAAATAACCAGATGGTACCCATTGTTTGTTGGGACAAAACACCAAAGTTATTGCGAGTTAATAGGCATATTTTTATATATTTTTCCTAAATCACGATGATTGCTGGGTAAATCCTTGTGTTCATTGATTTGACGAAAAATCATAACTCAACAGGTCAAATCACCGCTGTCCAAATAATCCCAACAGTTGATCCTTTGAGAAATCCCAACAGTTGTCTTGGACAAATCCCTATTTGTTGCTGGGTAAATCCCTGTTTGTTGCCTTGATTCAATCATTTCAATCCCAATCCCAATGTCGCTAGAAGCCTCAATGTGCTATGAAAAATCACGATGTTTCGTCCCCAACGTTTGCCGCTTCAGATCCCCCATTCCTGCTGAATCCCTCCGTTTCTTGCTGAAATCACCATTTTGCTGACTTAAATTGCAAGTTCTGTTGGTAAAAATGTGCCATTTCCCAATTTCTTGCTACTTACCCTCCAGTCATCGATATCAAATGTCGCAAATCTGAAATCCTCTATCAATGGATGTTTTCCGTGGGGAAAACACATTTCATACAAGGTAAACATGGTAATGTTCTAAAAATGCTAGTCATCTACTGCGACGTTCGATTACCGGAGGGTAACACTCTGGTAATTCAACATAGCTATTGAAAATTGCCCATTTAGTTCATTGATTTACCCAAAAAAAAATGGTTGGTGGTTGAGCCCAACCCCTCTGAAAAATGATGGAGTTCGTCAGTTGGGATGATGACATTCCCAACTGAATGGAAAGTCATAATCCATTCCATGGTTCCAGTCACCACCAACCAGATAATAATTCCAGATTATTATATATTAACCATTAACTATCAACCATTAACCATTAACTTCCCATCAACTATTGTTAACCATCAATTAAATCATTTAACTTTAACTTTAACCATGAAAATAATGGTGATTTTCTATAGCTACGTAAAGTAAACGTTTTCCATGGTTCCAGTCACCACCAAAAAAAAGATGGTGATGTTCCACTTCGCCATTTTTCACATGACCCCTAATTTTCCTCGTAACGAATCCCGTCCCCCCACCGGGTCGGAACCGGGTCCAGTGTTAGTGAGGGCAAGTTGTCCCCATCCAACAGCAGTTGACGCAGGTGCACCCCGATGCAGGGATCGTCGCCTGGCGAACGAAACTTCCGACCCGAAGTTTAGGTCCCTCAAAAAATGGGAAGTTTCAGCTGCAAAAGTAGGTATAGATATAATAGATTATAGTGGGACATAGTGGGTGATATGTCATTTGGTAGAACCCAAAATTCTAGATATAATTTATGGGATATGATGGGATTTCAACATACATTGATAAAACCCATAGGTTTCAGAAGGTGATATCATGGGATGCCAAGATTTTCAGTAAGCCAAATACACTGGTAAGACTGGTAAGCAACCATTGCACTGGACAATCCTTTCGGTTTCTTCCTGAAGTTTCATTTGCCATGCCAAATTCATATCAGAACCATAGCATCATTGAATTGCCTTGAGTAATGTCAACCCTGGATTAATAAACCCAAACGGTTCTTCAATTGGGGGGATACCATTTAAGTATCAGATGAAATGACTATTGGAGGAGTACCCCCCTAATTGTCATAAACCATGGTTTTTTGCTATTCATCCGGGGTTGACCTTACGGGTACAAGATGTGAATGGAACAGAAATTTTGCTCCACGAATTCCATGCGAAAAGTCATGGGGAAACCGGGGAAACCGGGGAAACCGGGGAAACCGTTCAAAACATCCCGATTTTCAGCCACAAATCGGGACTCACCGGTACCATGCCGCCATGGTGCCATAAATCATCCGCAAGCGGCCCTGGCCATGTGGCCATGGAGATCTCCCATTGGGATGGCTATCACCAACAACGGTGTCTTCACATGGCATTCTCCAATTTTTCTATCACCATGTTTGTTGATCACAGACCTAAGAAATATATTACTATATAAATATATGCATAATACATTTACATATGCATATATACATATACGAAGTATATATATATATACCTGCAAAATCCACCTGTGCTAAATTTTGGCCTCTTAGCTGAAAGTACAAAATTTCAGCCCCTTGCAATAAAAAAAAACGGCAGTTTTCGTGAGCAAGAAAAACGTCCTTGGAAGATCATCCCTGAATCATGTCCAAGTAGTTTTAATCCAAATTGTGATTCCAATGCTACCACTGTTGGCGCCTGCTATTAGCACCAAATCAGCGACTGAAGAGCATGCATGACATGCCAGTGTGGGATGAGCAAGTTGCTAGAATGGCATGAAAGAGGGCAAAACTGCTTGAAACCAAAGACAGGTGAACGGGAAGACATGTTCCCACTGTCAAAGAATTCAGAACACATTTGATTCTGTGCGTTGTGTGCGCCCATGGTTTTTGACCCGTATCATACATGAAAAAACTCGAATTGCGAAATTCAAAATGGATGGTTCCCAATTAGGGCAAGTTACGCCTTGCTCCCGGAAAATTACGTTTTTACCAGGCAAATTACGCCTCTTAAAAGCGTAGGATTTTGGCAAAAATTAAACCTTGTTATAAATGCCATACCTTATCATACCAGATGATCCCGGTTTTTTTTGTTGATCTGATCATGCCACAAACAAAATTAGTCATTCGTCTCAGCATTTGATGGTAAACCCATCATGCCATGATAATCGTGTCATACCTTACCATGGACAACCTGTCACGCGAAGAGACTATACTATGTATGATGCATACTCTGCGCAACTGCTTCATGCAGTAGCAGCCCCTGAGCAGAGTTTCACCCGGCGACGAAGGTTCTGCGGTTAGTTAATTATTCAGCCGTGCCCATGAAACATCTTGGAATTTTAACAGGAAACTGGCGTCAAACCTACTAAAAGACATCTGTCAGGATAGAACGTTCCAAAAGTCAAAAAACGCCTCTTAGATAAAAGGGCAGATTTTGGTTAAGGCGCAAGAAATTGACCTTCAGGAACATCTAGGTATACATATTTTAAATATATATATATATATAAGAAAAGACAAATAAATATCAACAAAAATGAGTAGATATAATATTTTAAAAAAATACGTATACATATGTATGTATATATATATGTGCATATATAAATATGTAAATAAATATATATATATATATATATAAATATACATGTAAATATTTAAATATGCGTATATGTATGTATGTATGTATGTATGTATGCATGCAAATATTAATATTTGTATATATATATATGTGTAAATATATATATGTAAATATATATATGTAAATATATATGTAAATATATATATATAGTATATGCATTTATCTGCCCACCCGGCCGACGCAAGCGAGAGCGCACCAGGGAAAGGGGGTTCCCAGCATCTATTGGCAACAACAGCAACAACAACAACAACAACAATCACAACAATCACAAGGCAGCTGCCATAGCAGCTGCAGCAGCAACAACAGCAGCAGTCGCAGTAGCAGCAGCAGTTGCAGCAGCAGCCGCAGCAGCAGTAGCAGCAGCAGCCGCCGCAGTAGCACCAGCCGCAACAGCAGCAGTAGCAGCAGCAGCACTAGCAGCAGTAGTATCTTGGGGCCTTATTTTTCAAGCTATATAAGGGTATGCGCTTCGAATCTGCAAAGGGAACTGCTTAGCGTATTAGGGACCCAGAATCATGGACGAAGAAAAACATCGGTGCAAACGATGAATTTCGGCATCAAGTGGCATGAAGGTGTCAAAAATGGATGAAGTCCCAGCGGTCACAGGACGACCGTCAAACCATGTTCCAATCTGTTCCAAGCTGAAACGTTGGATCTGGTTCTGCTTTGAGGGGCTGCTTCCCCCCATTTGATGGAGGCTGTTCTTGACCTTGGTATGCAAATGCATGAAGGGCGATCAACAAGATCAGCCCAAGACACAGAGGTGTCCGTCTCCAATGGAAAATCTACAGATTTCAGGGCCTGCAAGGTTCTGCAACCCAAAAATTGGATGGCTCACTCATGGTTTACTTCTAAAATGACCCATGAAATCAGCAGATCCACTGTGAAGTCGCCTTCACGCTCCCAACCCGTGCCGATCTTTTTCAAAGTGCGGGCAGCTGCCAAATCACTGAAATTCCCACAGCATGTCAATCTCATATTTCCAAAACAATCATTAAAATGCTGCTCAATACTTAAGACATCTTAAGACCATATTTCATGGTTCCGATACTTGCCTCTCTGTGAGGTGCCAGCCGTCGCACTTCTCACAGTTGCCCTCGGGATTTCACTAGCAAATGATGGGCGTGATAGGGAAACAACGGATGTAAGTCGATGCACCTTGCACCTTTAGAATCTCAAACCATTTCATTTTGCTGTACACAATTTGGGCCTACATCCGTCCTGAGATAATGTGTAAGTGTCACATAAGTGAATTCTTTCAACCTCAAACAACGCCAACCCCCGTAAAAGGTTGCTTAGAATGATGTTTCCTAAATGGAAATGGATCGAACTGTTTCCTTTGAAGTCCCGCTTGGTGACGGCCCCCAATGAATATGAGCAGTTGAGGTATCAAACATTAAAATCACTACAATCTACAACCACTCGCGCAGTTTTCACCCCGCTAGCATAAATATGAAATAACCATGGTAAAAAAATACGGCAAAATATCGTGAAACTGTGGTATAAGTATAATTTTGGCAAAAGTATAGCGTATATGCAAGTATAACTTTGGCATAACCAAAGCATAAGAACGGTATGACTGTCGCATAAATACGGTAATTATAACTGTGATATACGTGTAGCTTTCACACAAAAATTGTAAAATTCTGGCATGAATCAGGTATAACTACAGTACACCTGTCCGAAAGTTGGCGCATCGCCAACCACGTGTCTGCTGTCCACGTGCACATCCATTTTTTTCCGAATGCGTAGCAAGGGTTCCCGTTTCACTCTGGGGGTCCTGGGGGCTGAGGGTGTCTTCGCTCAACGTTGCGTTGACGTCCGCAACCGTCCGCAACCGTTCGCATAGCCGTGCCCATGGTAAGTTCTGCAGAAGGGGTCAGTTTGGAGGTTTCACAAGTGGCGTTGCTTTGTTTCGCGTGGCAGGCCTGGCACTTCGTGACATTCAGACGTGTTTTGTGACGTGTCGAAAGTCGTTTTGTGTGGCAGGCGCAATACTTTAGCGATGTTTTCAGAAGATGCGTTGCAGTTTTCGTGGCAGGCGCAGCATTTTGGACGTGTCCATCGTCATTTTTCGTGACAGGCGCAGCATTTTAGACGTGTCGTGTTGCGTGTTTTTTGCGAATCGCATTGGCAGGGCTGCGTCAAGTGGCGACACGGTGCAGATTCCGTGGTAGGGGTGGCATTTTGTGAGATGTGCTGGAAGCCCCGCACGAAACATCGATTTTGGGATAGCAAATTTTCAGGTTCCAGAGAAAACTCGCGGGAAAACGTTGATTTTGATGCTACAAAGTGTCAAAATTGGCGGAAGTCTCGCACGAAATGCTCGTTTTGCTGCTCCCACGTGTCTCGTCTCGAGTCTCTGGTTTTCCTGTGGCCTCGCCGTGTCTATGAGGTAAGCTGCAAAACATGTACTTTTCAAAGGTTTCCAAGCAGGTTGTCATGTCGTTTTGCGTGGCAGGCGTAGCACTTTGTGACATTCCAACCTGTTTGATAACGTGTCGAAAATGTCAAAATTGGAGGAAGTATCAGACGAAATGCTCGTTTTTCTGCGCCCACGTGTCTCGTCTCGAGTCTCTGGTTTTCCTGTGGCGTCGCTGTGTCTATGGGGGAAGCTCCACACTCCACACTCTACACTTTACACTCCACACTCCACATTCCACACTCTACACTGAACACTCTACACTTTACACTCTACACTCCACACTTTACATTTTACACTCCACACTTTACACTTTACACTCCTCACTCCACACTCCACACTCTACACTTTAAACTCCACACTCCACACTCTACACTTTACACTCTACACTTTACACTCTACACTCCACACTCCGCACTCTACACTTTACACACTCCACACTCCACACTTTTTACTCCACACTCCTTACCTCTACACTCCGCACTCCACACTCTACACTTTCCACTTTACACTCCTCACTCGACACTTTACACTCCACACTTTACACTCCACACTCTACACTTTACACTCTACACTCCACACTCCACACTTTCCAATCCACACTCCACACTTTACACTCCACACTCCACACTCTGCACTTTACACTCCACACTCTACACTTTACACTCTACACCTGACTGTTTTCTGATCTTTTCTGGCGATCTTTTCCTAAAATTCCTAGACCTCTAAAACTGCAGTTCTGACTAGGGGACTCTTCCCGAGACTGCTTCTGCGGTACTTTGGCATCAAGCATGCATTTCTTTCCGACCAAAGGCAGAGCCTCTAATCCCATCTTCCATTGATATTGAACAAGCCCAATCGAAACCATGGTGGTTTAGCAGGGGATCAACACACATATAAATGAGACTGACCCATCAATCAAGGATGGGATGATCATGGATTTTCCATTTATATCCATCATTATGCGTCGAGATCCAACTCTAATTGATCGAAGGAAGTTTAGGAGTCAAACTTCCGACAATATGGACAAATGAAAAGCAGAGATGGGAAGAGTCAGCGAAGAGAAGAGAAGAAGAAAGAAGATCAAAAAAGAGAAAGTCTCAGAAGAAAGAAGATCCAGGTGCGTGAAAAGGTAGGAAAGTCGCGAAACACTGTGTTTTTCCAATGATTTGTGGCTCCGGAGAGCCGAAATGTAGGCTCGCTAAAGCGGCGAGTGCGGAGCCATGTGGTCAGATGAGAGATGAAAAGTTGCACGCCGTTGTGGCGCAAAGCACATCCAAAGTCACGTTACGACCTGCCAGCCTTACATCGCAACCTACCAACCTTTCTTTCAACCCTACCAATCTCATGGTATCGCATTGAATCGCTGTACATCCAAAGCGGCATGTTTCTGGATAGGTCAGCTGACCCTAGTTCCCTCAACATCCCAAACATTTGCAGAACTGTCTATGTTGGGAGGGACGCCTACTCAATGTTGGTATATAATAAGATGTGATAAGTGGTACCCACAGCTCAGTTTGGGGCATGCTCAAAAAACAAACAACAAGAAGAAGAGGCGAAAAGGAGGCGAAACTGACAAAGGCTCTGTCAGGGAATGCTAACAACAAACAATTCTAACCAATCAGCAACAATGAGTGGGATAATCACCGATAATGACTTATCATTTTGGCGCGTTGGGCGCGTGCAACAAGGATATAAACACCATTTTGGCAATGAAACAATTAATGGGGATAATAATCGTCGATCCGGCTACTACTGACTCACACATTTTGGGGTCTAGACCACCTATTTAGAGTGATCAAGGCATATCAAGGATCTATCAAATATTGAATGTCACTGGGGATCCTCATGCCAAATATGTTGGGGGCAATGAACTAGCATGGATTGCTTGCTCCAAGCCCTGTTGGCCCTTCTTATAAGGATGAGGACGAGGATGAGGACGAGGATGCTGGTGATATGGTGATATGGTGATATGGTGATATGGTGATATGGTGATATGGTGATGACGACGATGAGGATGAGGATGATGAGGATGAGGACGAGGATGCTGGTGATATGGTGATATGGTGATGACGACGATGATGAGGATGAGGATGATGACGATGATGATTGTCACCGGACCCACCTGGAGCTTGTTGAGCTCTTCGTCAAGGAGCTGCACGGAGGCTTCGTGTGACCAGTAGGACGAGGGGATGGCCTCGGCTTTTGATGTGACTACCCATACCATAGTACAGTATAACAAAGCACGGTATAGCATAGCATAGCATGGCATAGCATAGTATAGTATAGTGTAGTATAGTAAAGTATAGTGTAGTATAGTACAGTATAGTATTAGCATTAGTATTAATATTAGTGTTAGTATTAGTAATAATATTAGTATTAGTATTAATGTTAGTATTAGTGTTAGTATTAGTATTAATATTAGTATTAGTATGAGTATTAGTATGAGTGTTGGTATTAGTATTGGTCTTAGCATAAGTATTAGTATTAGTATGTATTAGCATTAGCATTAGTATTAGTAATAGTATTAGTATAGTACAGTACAGTAGAGTAGAGAATAGCAAAGTACAGCGCATAGTATCATGCGTAGACGAGCCACGTAACAGTGAAAGATGCGACGAGACTCCACGCTCTTCATCTCACCCTTGCACCAGTTGCCTGAAGCTGGCGTGGGTATGAGGGACTATCAAAACCCATAGGAATCCCTGATGAATAAAGTAAATAGGGTTAGGATGAGGATACGGTACTGTTTGGATCATTCTATTTGGGTATTGTTTTTTGGTTATGAATGATTCATGATTCATTAATCATGAGGTGCAGATCATTATTTTCGAGTGATTATATAGTGGTGACCATATCATTCATGGCTGATCATTGTTTGTTCATGATTATAGCACTTTTGCAATAACCATCAACCGTTATTAACCCCAAGTATTGATAGTTGATTATGGTCATCCATGAATGACTAATGCTTATAATCATAAATGAATGGGGAATACTCAGTAGTCATCAATACCACTATCATATAACAATTTCTTGGGCCCTTTTATTGTCGGTGACTGATGAGGCCCCAGCTGGCACAGCTGCATATGTGCCCGAATATGGTTGGCTAAGCGACTATCCCATGATTATTGGATATATCAATTATTGAGATACCAATCGCATCCAATTACGTCTGGTCATCTTCCCTTGGTCGCCGTTCTGTCCCAAGGAGCTGAAGCTCTTGCGGTAGTCCACACCGTCCACTTCCGCCAAGCACAAACCAGTGGCTCCAGTGAAGTAGTTGCAGATAGCCCTGATGAGACAGATGTCCACCTCGGCAGTTGCCAAACTCCTTCTGGTTGGTGGTTGACACATCAAGGCCAAGACTATCCGTTGCTGATGTCTACCAATCATCCCGGTATCTTGAAATCTCATGTCGCGGTGAAGAGTTCTTTACATTGAATTGAGACGTACCAAATCAAAATGTACCACACACCTCAGCTTCGAAACACTTTTAGAAGTTGCGATGTCGAAGAAGTGCACGCGAAGCACTACTACTACTACTACTACTACTACTACTACTACTAACTGCTACTATTACTACTACTACTACTACTACTACAACTACTACTACTACTACTACTACTACTACAACTACTACAACTACTACAACTACTACAACTACTAACCAATGCTCCAAATAAATCCATGCTTTCATGGACGTTCCCAACATGACGGATCATGCGGATGACACTACACGCGCGACCTGCACATGTTTATCTCCCAATTCTCTCAACGTAAAAGACTCTGTAAAAGACTTCGTAGAAGTTTCATGAAAAATTACGGGCTCTGACAGACTCTTCATGTTTATCCCCTTCTTATGTTGTTTGTCTCATGTGACACGAGCCCCTCAGAGATTGTCTTGCCAAGCTGCTGGATCAACTCCCAAGTGTGCAGCAACTGCTTCCTCAGCCGTTATACTGTGATCCCTAAGGCCCTTACAGGATCTTATAGTCCTCCCTTGGGATCCCTCAAGGGATCCCAAGGAGCTCAAGAAGAAGGGTGGAAACCTGGCTTTATCAGTGCCCACGGCTGAAAATGCAATGTGGAAAAAGACTTCAATGATTAACAACCATTAACTATGGTGAGCCATTTGTTTCACCATCATCAACATTGCGAATTCTAAACCATTAAAGCCATCGTTTGTCATGATATGTCATGATTAACAACCCCTCTTCAAGTGGTATGTCATGATATGTCATGACATGTCATATTTCAATCCGGAAAGCAAGAAAAAACATAGACTCCTGCTGAGGCAAACTGCAGCTCGCATCAAAATAACAAACAAACAAACAAACAAACAAACAAACAACAATAGGAACCTGCTTGCATGCGAAAAAATGTCACAGGGTGACTTTGAGGCAATGGCCTTCATAGGCTCCACGGCAACATTGTTGCGGATGAAGGAATCTGGATCACTCACCTGAAGTCATTGTGTCACTGGGCGCCAATCTCTGGAAGCAAAATGGAACTGCGAAAGAAAGTCAGCAAGCACTTCCTAGTCCAGCGCAGCTTTCCACCTCCAAGATTTCATTTCCATTCGTGGCTACTTGGTCCTCGAGCCTCGTGAGCCACTATGAATTGATCCGCTAACATTGGTTGACTTTTTCATGAATAACATAGCAGTCGAAATGAATGTATGAGTTGCCTGAGATATATCATCAATAACCATACCCAAATGTGAAGTTATAAACATGTGCACTTGACTACTTAATTGTTTTAACAAACGGGTTGACCATGTTTTTCTATTGTTGGTCACCATGGTTGACAATGAACAAATGTTGCGCGGATACTTCTGTGTGACATCCAAAAAATCTCAGCATCCGGGAGCCCGCACTCAGAGAGCTCTCGGCCAAAAAGTTCGAAACAGCGTTGGATTTTTTCGGCCTGAAGGCGGCACCAGCCCCAAGGTGCCCCAACCGCCGCGAGTTTGCAACCGCGCCTTGGATAAAGGCCATGTGTACCAGCTTGCTCCAGGCAAAGGTGAGGAGCCCCAAGAAAACTGCAAAGCAGCCCAAAGGTGAACATGATTCTCCCAGACTTGACGGTCATTGTGGAAACGAGGGCAAGAACAACGCGGTCATTGTGGAGGACGCAGTGATCACTCCATCGCCTTCTACAACTATGTAGATATTGCCGATAACCGCCTAAACCTTCCCCGTGCCATTGTGTCATTGCAACTACTACGGAAGATGTTTAACGAACTTGCTACAACCCCCTTTTCGGGACTTATGCAAATTTGGGTTCGATCCACACGAACAGAAATTGATCTCCCTTGCTTCTACAGAACTGTGTGAAAAGATTCAAGTCTTCCTACACAAACTTGAGCAAGAGAAGTGATGCAAACTGCCATGTTCGTAACTTGGCTCATTTTCTCTTCCTTCAAGGGAACTTACAGAGATACAAAAGCTATGACGATGCTGTCAAAAACGAATGCCTGGCTTACAATGCTTGCACATGTTTGCACTGCACTGGTAGAATTTCTGCAGCTAAGACTGATGGATCTGATAGCTTAGCTGCTAGGCTTAGCTTGATGATCTGACACAAAGATACATAAAGTGCACCTCCTCAACACCCTCTTTGGCGAGTCCCAAGTCCAAGTTGTGAGTCCCAAGTCCAGGCGATCAAGGTCATGGGAACAAAGCAGCCGGTTTAGCAAAAAGCTCCCCGGCCTGCGCGGAATCCATAACCTCAGTTCTTTGAGCGTCCAGGAGGTAGTCAGTGAAGTTACTTAGATCATGGACACTTCTCCAGTCAAACGGTTGCGCTTTGAGGTCCTGGCACGAAAAAAGCTTCTGACTTAAAACTTAGGTAGTAGAGTCTCTAAAGCGTGAAGTTCCGCAGGATATGCTGAGAGCCAAGATGGGGCATCATGCACTTCCAATTGTCCCGAGGAAGTTCCTCAACTTTGATCTTCTTCGCAGTTGGACCACATGCAAATGTTGCCTTGAAGCTATGCTCGGATGAAACATGAAAGCATTTTTTCGTTGCTGGCAACACCCTGGACATCCGAAAGGCTCACAGGCGCAAATCCATCTCGTGCACCTTCTTCGGAGGCAAAGTACTCACTTGCGCCTCCAAAATTTTCTCACTTGTGCCTCTTACTCACTTGCGCCTCCATCTCTCACTTGTGCCTCGGACCTGTCTAACTACCGCCTCCAGTACTCACTTGCGCCTCCACAATGCTTTGTTTGAATTGTAAGTCTATCTTTACACGTTCACCCCCTTTGTCTTCCACCATGCGACCATATGAAATCAAAGTCTTTATTGACACTTTCCCCCCTTTTGCCATCCACCATGCGACCATCTGAAATCTAAGTCTTTTTTTAAACTTCCCCCCCCCTTGCCTTCCACCATGCGACCATCTGATATGTAACTCTTTACTTAAATGTTCCTCCCCTTTGCCTTCCACCACGCGACCATATGAAATCTAACTCTTTAGCCATTTAGGGTTAATTGGGAGGGGGGGAAGTGCTCAACGTCTCATTGAAGGTCTCTTGGGGAATGTTATTCTCTCAACTGCGTCCGCAAAGTTTATTGGGGAAGGGATATTGTCTGAACTAGCCATTTAGGGTTAATTGGGTGGGGGGGGATGTGCTCAACTTATCATTCAAAGTTTCTGCGGGAATGTTATTCTCTCAACTAGGTCAAGGAAGTCTATTGGGGAAGGGATATGTCTGAACTAGCCATTTAGGGTTAATTGGGGGGGGGGATGTGCTCAACTTATCATTCAAGGTTTCTGGGGGAATGTTATTCTCTCAACTAGGTCACGAAAGTCTATTGGGGAAGGGACATTGTCTGAACTAGCCATTTCGGGTTTATTGGGGGGGGAAGTTTTCAAGTAGCCACTTCATATTTATTGGCCCAATAAATGCGCCTTAGTGAAAGCAGGAGCTATGTTATGAACTAGCCATTTAAGGTTTATTGGGGGGGAAGTGTTCAACTTATCATTGAAGGTTTCTGAGGGAATGTTATTCTCTCAACTAGGTCACGAAAGTCTATTGGGGAAGGGATATGTCTGAACTAGCCATTTAGGGTTAATTGGGGGTGGGATGTGCTCAACTTATCATTCAAGGTTTCTGGGGGAATGTTATTCTCTCAACTAGGTCACGAAAGTCTATTGGGGAAGGGACATTGTCTGAACTAGCCATTTCGGGTTTATTGGGGGCGGGAAGTTTTCAAGTAGCCACTTCATATTTATTGGCCCAATAAATGCGCCTTACTGGAGGGAGGAACTATGTTATGAACTAGCCATTTAGGGTTTATTGGGGGGGGGAAGTGTTCAACTTATCATTGAAGGTTACTGAGGGAATGTTATTCTCTCAACTAGGTCAAGAAACTTTATTGGGGAAGGGATATTGTCTGAACTAGCCATTTAGGGTTTATTGGGGGAGAAGTTTTCTCAAGTAGCCACTTCATATTTATTGGCCATTTTGCACTGGAGTTGTATTATTTTTGGACTGGTTGCAATGGTTGCAGTAGTCACCTCACCCACAAGTGCTGGATGTAGTGTGGTGTAGTGCAGCTGTAGTTGTAGATGTAATGCCGTGGAGTTGTAGTTGTGGTGTGGTGTAATTAAAGTAGTGTATTTGCAGTCGTATTGTAGAGGTGTAATGTATTGTAGTGTGGTAGAATGTAGTGTAGTCTAGTGTCGTGTAGTGTAAAGAAGCGTAGTTGTAGTTGTGTTTGTAGTTGTAGGTGTGGTGTAACTTAGTGTAGTTGAGTATAGTGTAATGTAGCGTAGTGTAGTGTAAAGTAGTGTAATGTAGTGGAGTGTAGTGCAGTGTGGTGGAGTGTAGTGTAGTGGAGTAAAGTGTAGTGGAGTGGAGTGCAGTGTAGTTGTAGTGTTGTTGTAGTTGTATTTGTAGTTGTAGTTGTAGTGTACTGTAGTGTAGTGGAAATAGGGTTGTTGTAGTGTAGTTGTGATGTATTGTAGTTATAGTTGTAGTGATGGTTGTAGTGTAGTGTAATCTAGTCTAGTGTGGTGGAGTGTAATGTAGTGTCGTGTAATGTAGTGTTGTTGTAGTGTAGTTGTAGTTGTAGCGTAGTGCAGTGTAGTGGGTTGTTGTAGTGTAGTTGTGATGTAGTTGCAGTTGTAGTTGTAGTGATGGTTGTAGTGTAGTGTAATCTAGTGTAGTGTAGTGGAGTGTAATGTAGTTGTAGTTGTAGCGTAGTGCAGTGTAGTGGGATGTTGGAGTGTAGTTGTGATGTAGTTGTAGTTGTAGTTGTAGTGATGGCTGTAGTATCGTGTAGTGGTAGCGTAGTTGTAGTTGTAGTTGTAATAGGTGTAATTGTGGTGAAGTTGTGGTTGTTGTTGTAGTTGTTGTGTGCTATAGTTGTTGTCGTTGTTGTAGTTGCTGTAGTTGTTGAAGTTGTTGTAGTCTGAACATCAAAAATGGTCCGAGGCTGGTGTGCTTTGTACATTGTGACTTGGAAAGCTGCTTCGCGCCACAACGGCGTTCATCTCTCATCTCGCCAGCTGGCTCCCCACCCGCCGCGTGAGCGAGGTTACTTTTCGACCCTCCAGAGCCACAAATCATTGGAAAAACACAGTGCATCGTGACTTTCCTACCTTTACGCGCACCTTCATCTTCTCTCTTCTGACTTTATCCCTCTTTGATTTTCTCCATCTCTTATCTTCTCCTGGCTGACTCTTCACACTCTGCTTTTCCATTTCTCCATATTGTCGGACGTGTGACTCCTAAACTTCCTTCGATAAACTTAGTCGTTACTACTTAGTCGTTAGTAGCTAGTGGTTAGAAGTTACTACTTAGCCAGGCTGCTGTTTTATAACTAGTTAGCTAGGTTAGCATATGTTACTAACTATATTCTAATTATGTTGTAACTATGCTTTAACTAGGTCTTAACTAGTTATATTTTTCTTAACAAGTTATGATGATTACTATTTTTTCAAAACAGTTAGCTAACTTTCTTAATTATGTTAATTTTGCTACTTAATTAGCAAAGTTATAACTAGTTAGCTTCAAAATTAAGATAATGTACATGTGCACTTTGTGTATTTGATTTTGAATATTTTCAACAGAAAAAATGATTTCTTAAAAAGCCAAAATCACATTAGCCATTTGGCTGCATTCAAACATTAGCCATTCCCAGGCTGAACCTCAGCATTCAAACACTAGCCATTCCCAGGCTGAACCTCAACATTAGCCATTGCAGGCTTCACCAGCTGACATATTGCCGCATTGGCCATTACCAGGCCCACTTGGTCAAAGCCCCTTGTTTGTTGCTGCTGCTTTGGCCCCAAAGCTGTCAACTTCTTTGGGGCCATGGAGCCTGCTGTGCAAGTGTCACGCATTGTTTGTGTGAAGAATGGTGGTGGCAAGAAGATCCAAATCCCTGAGCAGCTTGTTGTGCAGGACATCCAGGGTTACAAACCCAAACCCACCTCAAGTGTGTTTTGCTAGCAAGCTTATATGGCTGAGTGGTTTGCCCCAATGTGTTTGGGAAATGTTGGGTTCAAAATGCATGCAGGACTCAGGTGTTGAATATTTGAAGCTTGCAGCTACCAACTACACCATTTGCAAGCTGGTCTGTGGTGAGGGGCAAAAGAATTCTTCATTGGCTGGTGGTGACAAGCTTCAAGAGCTTAAGGACCTCAGGAACCAAAAAGTTGGTGTGACCCCAGAAGCAGCTGATTAAGGACAAGGTGATGATGAAAGTGCTGGCAGCAGAAGGAAAGCAGGTGTGCACAAGCCACCCTCTGTAGTTGAGATTGATGTGGATGGGACCAAAGTCAAAGTTCTGTGTCCATCCAAAAGGATTGCACAAAGCGATTTGATGGTGCAAATTGACCCTGTCCAGTTGGATGCAGTGTTCACTTTCCTTGGTCCTGACTGCCAGTCACTGGCTTCAACCAGGTCCTATAACAAATCTGGCAAATTCTGCAAAGCAGGTGACAAAAAACCATGTGCTGATGGTCAAGTTGAGGGCTAAGAGAGCCTTGATGGCTGGGTGTTGAAAAAAGGCTGACACAGTGCTGGCACCAGATTAGCCTATACAGATGGCTTGGGTCAAAAAATTAGCCTGCTACTCTGCAGGTCTACACATTAGCCAGATTAGCCTTCCATGGATTGGCATTGGCTCATTTCTTTCACTGGCTTCCAATTAGCCTTTATGGCTCAGAATGACAGCATGTTCAGCCAGCACATGAAGAGCACACCTTGCTTCATGGGGTTACTACTACTGCTGCTGCTGCTGCTACTACTACTACTACTCCTGCTACTACTACTACTACTACTACTACCCTGCTACTACTACTACTACAACTACTACTACTACTACTTCTACTACTACTACTACTACCACCACTACCACCACTACCACCACTACCACCACTACCACTACCACTACCACTACCACTACCACTACCACTACCACTACCACCACCACCACCACAGCTACAACTACAATTACAGCTACACTACATTACATTACAATACACTCATTAAACTGCAGTACATTACAGCTACAAATGCAATTGCAACTACAACTACACTACATTACACAACACAACACTACACTACACTAATTACATTACATTACGCTACAACTGCAACTACCACTACATTGCACTACACGACATTACACTGCAACTACAACTACACTACTTTACACTACAACGCTACACTTTACCACGCTACAGTACACAACGCTACAGTACACTACAATACACTACACTAGTTACACCACACCACAGCTACAACTGCAAATGCAACTACACTACACTAATTGCACTACATTACAACTACAACTTACAACTACAACTCCACTACACCACAACTACAACATACTACAACTACACCTACAACATTACAACTACAACTACAACTGCACTACACCACACTACATCCAGCAGTCGTGGTGAGGTGACCACTGCAACCATTGCAACCACTCCAGAAAACACAACTCCAACCACCTTTCGGTCCATCAGTGGATTCGCCCTGCCATCCGTGAGTCACAACAACTAACCCTTCCTATAGGTTTCCTATGTCTGAAACTTCCGCCACCGACGGTACTACTGGTATCATCGTTGATTACTACCCTAATATATGGTTTTTATACTGTGTATATATATATACATATGATATATGTATATGTGAACGGACACAGAATCATGGACGAAGAAAAACATCGGTGCAAACGATGAATTTCGGCATCAAGTGGTATGAAGGTGTCAAAAATGGATGAAGTCCCAGCGGTCACAGGACGACCGTCAAACCATGTTCCAATCTGTTCCAAGCTGAAACGTTGGATCTGGTTCTGCTTTGAGGGGCTGCTTCCCCCCATTTGATGGAGGCTGTTCTTGACCTTGGTATGCAAATGCATGAAGGGCGATCAACAAGATCAGCCCAAGACACAGAGGTGTCCGTCTCCAATGGAAAATCTACAGATTTCAGGGCCTCCAAGGTTCTGCAACCCAAAAATTGGATGGCTCACTCATGGTTTACTTCTAAAATGACCCATGAAATCAGCAGATCCACTGTGAAGTCGCCTTCACGCTCCCAACCCGTGCCGATCTTTTTCAAAGTGCGGGCAGCTGCCAAATCACTGAAATTCCCACAGCATGTCAATCTCATATTTCCAAAACAATCATTAAAATGCTGCTCAATACTTAAGACATCTTAAGACCATATTTCATGGTTCCGATACTTGCCTCTCTGTGAGGTGCCAGCCGTCGCACTTCTCACAGTTGCCCTCGGGATTTCACTAGCAAATGATGGGCATGATAGGGAAACAACGGATGTAAGTCGATGCACCTTGCACCTTCAGGCTCCCAACCTGCCAAATCACCGAAATTCCCACAGCATGTCAATCTCATTATTGCAAAACAATCATTAAAATGCTGCTAAGACCATGTTTGATGGTTCCGATATTTGCCTGTCTGTGCGATGTGCACCATCGCACTTGTCACACGTCGTTGTTCCCAAGTTCATACAGCTATACTACTACACATCGTCCTGACTGTTTTCTGATCTTTTCTTCCAACCCCGTTAAACTTCTACATTCATTGAAGATCTTCGAGAAGGGTTTAATTCTCCCGCCCTGCTTAAACTTCTACCTTCATTGAAGATCTTCAATAAGGGTTTAATTCTCCCACCCCCGTTAAACTTCTACATTCATTGAAGGTCTTCAATAAGGGTTTAATTCTCCCACCGCCGTTAAACTTCTACATTCATTGAAGATCTTCAATAAGGGTTTAATTCTGCCACCCCCGTTAAACTTCTACATTCCTTGAAGATCTTCAACAAGGGTTTAATTCTCCCAGCCCCGTTAAACTTCTACATTCATTGAAGGTCTTCAATAAGGGTTTAATTCCCCCAACCCCGTTAAACTTCTACATTCATTGAAGATCTTCAATAAGGGTATAATTCTCCCACCCCCGTTAGACTTCGATCTTCAATAAGGGTTTAATTCTCCCAGCCAGGTTAAACTTCTACATTCATTGCAGATCTTCAATAAGGGTTTGATGATGATGATGCTGATGATGATGATGGTGATGATAATGATGATGATGATGATGGTGATGATGGTGATGATGCGTCGCCTGTCGTCATTGCATGTCCGGGCAAAGCCCAGGCATTTGCCGTATGTAAATATATATATGTATATGTATATATATATATGTATGTGTATATATATATATGTATATATGTATTTATGTGTATGTGTATATGTATATATGTATGTATATATCTATATATGTATGTATATGTATATATATATATGTACATGTATATATGTACATGTATATATATATGTATATATGTATGTATATATATATATTCAAACCTATATATATATTATATGTATATATGTTTAATTGTGTAAATATGTATATATGTATATATGTATATATGTATATATGTATATATGTATATATGTATATGTATATTTGTGTATATATGTACATATATTCATATACTCATATGCATATATTCATATATTCGTATATTCATATATTTATATATTCAAATATTCAAATATTCATATATGTCATATATGTCATCTATGTCATATGTGTAATTTTATATTTATATATATATGTAGATGTACATATATATATATGTATAGATGTATATAGATATGTGTATATATATATATATGGAGAGAGAGAGAGAAAGAAAGAAAGAAAGAAAGAAAGAAAGAAAGAAAGAAAGAAAGAAAGAGAGATGTGTGTGTGTGTGTGCTTGTGTGTGTGTGTCTAATCACGTGTACAATCAGAAATATGTTACCAGTATCTCTGCCAAACAACAAGCATCACTTCATCTCAAGCACCTCCTGACTCGCTTTGGCCAGCAGCCGCACCACGTCCATGGACAACACCCGCACCACGCCACGAGGATAGGGCGGAAAGACTGGGAATGGGAAAGTTTCCTGGTGACGAAAAAGGTAACAACTTGGTTGAATCATGAAAACGGAATACTGAACAGTTGGTTAAGATAAGGTTCTTGTTGCCAACTGGTTTGGAAGTAGTATTTTATACAGTATATCTTTAGAAATCATGCCAACTGGTTGATGTTCAAAGAAGCTTTTTTTTGCTAACTGGTTTCTTGGGGATTCCTATAGCGCCACAAAAATGACGGGAAGAGCGACCAAGCCTCCAAAATAATGGGATGGAATTGCCAAAAGCCTGATGGTTCTGGGTTAGATGAACGGCTAGTGATGCTTTAAGTAGAGACTATCAATGGATTGGTTTAAGGGAAGATTTTAACCGGAAAACCCCTAATATTTAATGGGAAAATCTATGGTTTCCGGTTAAGATTTTCCCTTAAACCAATCCATTGAGACTAAAACCATATAGCAATCCCAATATGTTCAGATGGAAGAGTTCTATCTTTTTGGGTACTCCTATGAACTGCAGGGGAAGTGTAACTAGTATAACTCAAACCCACCAAAATGGGAAGAATGGACAGGTGAGAATTGGCGAATGACAAAAAATACTTCGATTTCGGAATCCAGCCAACAAAAGGTGTGAAAAACATCAGCGAACTTTGGGATTGAAAAGAAATTGCCAACAATATCCAACAGCTCTCTGATGGTTGAGACATTTCCGTGAAAATCCAAAAGTCCCTCATTTATCCAATCAAATGTAACATATTGTACCATCTGGGGTATCAAAAAGATAATCCAACAAACAATGCTCCATGTTACACGTCACATGGTGCTCCTCAGGGTTGTAGAAGTTGTCTTCCTCATCCCGAGGCACAGGGCTGATGTAGTCAAAGATGGCCCAAGCATACCTCAAGGCAGGGGAAACCGGAGAGGGATTCCCGTCCAAGGCTTACACCATTTCTGGATGTGGACCCTCGAGGTTGTGGTGGTTTCTCATGGGCTAATTCTTTCATCCACTTGAGTCCCCAGTTTCTATGTTCGCTGGACAAATATCCCAATTTTCCTGGCTTACAATCTTCATTGGCACCCCAGTTTGGCCACTTCAAGTCCCCACCGCCTCTTGCTTCTGACCGCAGTACATGGATATGAACGTAGTGACCCAATTTTTGCCGCTCAAATCCCCAATTTGAAATGGTTTATTGCTGAAATCCTTATTTTTGTTCGTTCAACTTGAGTAAACCCGTTGAACCATGTTGAACCCATCAAGAATTCATCATTTGGGTCTGTCTGAAAATAAGTTTCCCGGCTATCCATCCCGTGGTTTTTCATCATTTCCCGGATAAAAATTGGACACCGGTCTCAGCCAAACCCATCTCATATTGTTGGTTACAGGGTGATATCCCAATGCATCCCAAGAATTTTCGCAACCAAAATATCACGAAAATCTGGATTAAAAAATCATTGACTTGAAATACTCACTGGTGCATAGAAGGGAATGGGGGAATGATCTACCCTCTGGTAAACTAACATAACTATGGAAAATCACCATTTTTAATGGGTAAATCCACTATAAATGGTGATTTTCCATAGTTATGTTAGTTTACCAGAGGGTATATAAACTATTTTCAGCATCATCCCATTCCCCTGTTCCCTACGTTTAGCACCTGTGGGAATTCCTCATTCCAGGGAAGGAGAACAGTGCGGTCCAAGGAACTGCGCCGGGATCCGATGTTCCAGCTGCCTCCGGGAACAAATCGCTCAGCAAGGAAAATCACATTTGGGGATATTTCAAAATTTTGTGCCCCACTATGTTTGAATATGGCTCACTATGCTTGGATATGTTTGAAAATATGTTTGAAGATGTTTGAATATGCTTGAAAATATGTTTGGATATGTTTGAATCTGTTTGAATATGTATGTTTGACTATGCTTGGATATGTTTGAATATGTTTGACTATGCTTGGATATGCTCGAAAATATGTTTGGATATGATTGAAAATATGTTTGAAGATGTTTGAATATGCTTGAAAATATGTTTGGATATGATTGAATATGTTTGGATACGTATGTTTGACTATGCTTGGATATGTTTGAAAGAAAATGTTTGAATATGCTTGGATATGATTGAAAATATGGTTGGGTATGTTTGAATACGTATGTTTGACTATGCTTGGATATGTGTGAAAATGTGTTTGACTATGCTTGGATATGCTTGAAAATATGTTTGGATATGTTCGGATATGTTTGAATACGTATGTTTGGCTATGCTTGGATATGTGTGAAAATGTTTGAATATGCTTGGATATGCTTGAAGATATGTTTGGATATGTTTGAATATGTTTGGCTATGCTTGGATATGTCTGAAAATGTTTGAATATGCTTGGGTATGCTTGAAAATATGTTTGGATATGCTTGAATATGTTTGACTATGCTTGGATATGATTGAAAATGTTTGAATATTTTTGGATATGCTCGAAAATATGTTTGGATATGTTTGAATATGTTTGACTATGCTTGGACATGTTTGAATATGTTTGACTATGCTTGGATATGCTTGCAAATATGTTTGGATAAGGTTGAATATGTTTGAATATGCTAGACTATACTTGGGTCTGTTTGAAAATATTTGAATATGCTTGGATATGCTTGAAATATGTTTGGATATTTTGAATATGTTTGAATATGTTTGACTATGCTTGGATATGGTTGAAAATGTTTGAATATGCTTGGGTATGCTTGAAAATATGCTTGGATATGGTTGAATATCTTTGGCTATGCTTGGATATGTTTGAAAATGTTTGAATATGATTGGATATGCCTGAAAATATGTTTGGGTATGTGTGAATATGCTTGACTATGCTTGGATATGATTGAAAATGTTTGAATATGCCTGGATATGATTGAAAATATCTTTGGATATGTTCAAATATGTTGCAACATGCTTGGGTATGTTTCAATATCCTTGGATATGCTTGAATATGTTTGAATAAGCTTGGGTATAGTTGGATATGTTTGGCTATGATTGAATATGCTTGAATATGTTTGAATATGCTTGAATGTGATTGAATGTGTGTAAAAATGCTTGAATATGCTTGAATATGTTTGGGTATGATTGAATATGTTTGAATGTCTTTGAATATGCTTGAATATGCTTGGAAATGATTCAATATGCTTGGATGTGTTTGCATATGTTTGGATATGTTCGACTATGCTTGGATATGTAAGCAAATGTTTGAATATATTTGGATATGCTTGAATATGTTTGGATATGTTTGAATATGATTGAATATGTTCCAATATCCTTGGGTATGCTTGGATATGTTTGAATATGTCTAAATATGCTTGGATATGTCTGAATATGTTTGAATATGCTTGAAAATGTTTGAATATGCTTTAATATGTAGGAATATCCTTGGATATTCTTGGATATGCTTGAAAATGTTTGAAAATGTTTGACTATGCTTCAAAATGTTTGAATATGATTGAATATGTTTGGATATGCTTAGACATATTTGAAAATGCCTGAATATGCTCGAATATGTTTGAATATGCTTGAATATGTTTAAATATGCTTGAATATGTTTGGATATGCTTGAATATGTTTCAATATGTGTGGGTATGATTGTTTATGCTTGGATATGTTTGAATATGCTTGGTAATGCTTGAATATGTTTCAATATGCTTGGAAATGTTTGGATATTCTTGGATATGTTTGAATATGTTTCAATATGCTTGGATACGCTTGAATATGATTGAATATTTTGTAATATGCTTGGATATGTTTGAAAGTGTTTGATTATGTTTGAATATGCTTGAATATGTTTGAATATTCTTGAATATGTTTGAATATGCTTGGATATGCTGGGATATGTTTGAAAATGTTTGAATATGATTGAATATATATGGATATGCTTGGATATGCTTGGATATGCTTGGATATGCTGAAAAATGTCCGAATATGTTTGGAAATTATGCTTGGATAT